CTGTGTTCTTCTTTTAAGTGGGTTTCTTAAATGAAGCAAAATTCTGGTAATTCAGCTTTGGCCTAGAGCACCTTCCTCCATTCAATATTATTAAGACCCTTAACATTTATAACGCAAAATGTGAGCTGATTAGACATCACAAGAATAGCAGGCTGCTATCTGTTGAATTGTTGGTTTTGGCATGTCTACACAAAATGTTTACTGTGGAGTAGACTAATTAGCTCCACAATCAACGTCTGACATCGACACATGCATGGCAGTTAGGCTACAGTAAACTAATTAAATCCACATTAGGATAGTACTTGTAAATACACAAGTACTTACAAATACTATCTTGCTACAGTTTTTTTACTGCATGTGTAGATGCTGACATGGCTGGCTGGGGCATAAGGGTGCTTCAATGCAGTGGCTGCCTGCTGGCTAGCACTGAACTGGAGCACCCTTGTGCCCAAGCCAGCCCCTCCACAGCATGTTGAGCCAGGCAGGCTGGTAGGCTGACCTCCAGGCCGCCTTCCAGCCAGGGCTGCTCTGACCCAGCTCAACGTGTTGCGGTCCTAAGTGCATGTTCAAATGGCACACCCGGGAACGATAAACTCTGGTGCAATAAACACCAGAGTTTATTGTTTTGCATTAATAATGTGTAGACACACTCTGTGGCCATGTCCAGACAAGTGCAGCCGTGTGGTCTGTGGCACCACATACTGCGCATTCAGGTGTTTTCTATGCTGCACGATAGCGGTGCTGGGGGGCGGGGGGCACAAAAGCAATGCAAAGAACCATGCAAAAAAAAAAAAGGGTGGCACATGCACGGGACAGTGCACGCTGCCCAAAACCGGAGCCTGGCCTATTGCAGCCATATTCCAGCTGCTGGCTAGGCTCCAAGCAGCAGGATTGCTGTTGCTGCAGTCCCAGGAGGCCCCCGGGTAAGGCTGCTGGGGCCAGCCTAGTGCTGGCCCCAACGCCCCCCACCCCTGGGGAAACCTGCTGTGTGCCAGAGGGCACATAGCACTCCCCAGGGTCAAGGAGCAGTGGCACAAGATGCCCTGCTGCTGGTTGACCCTGGGGAAACAAACTTGAGTGGACATGGTCTGTGTGTTTGTAGTTTTTACCTGATTTAGTGAATGCCTTCTCTGTGTACCAATGTTCAAATTCTGTCTTTAAGAATAAGCTCATTCTTTTCTGGGGGATTTTTGGCAATTTTAAACTTTGTGTTTTGTTTTGATCCCCCCTTTCTAGCACAGACCCTAAATCCCTCCTCCCACCCCTGCAACTCCTCCAGCTTCCACAAAGGCAAACAGTATCTTTAACTTTATTCCTTGTGGTGTTTTAATTATAAACTATTTAATACAACCGATCTAGAAATGACCTGCCAAAGAAGTTACGACTGCCTACTAGGGAATGAGTAGTGCGGACAAGATCTCTGTAGTAATCCCATTAAAGATATGCACATACAAATCAAGTAAACCACTGCAAAGACACTGATGAGAGATGCATGTTTAACACATCCATTCCCCTACACCATACAGACATTGCTAGCATAGTGCCTTTGAAGATGTCTCTGTCACTCTACAGTAGTGCTAGAGAGAGACAGGTTTTTATATAACCTCCAAAAGTCTATTGTTGTTTTGAAAGATGGAGTTGCACACAGCAGCTACATTTTTCAGTTGCAACTCTCATACCTTTATACCTACAATGCAGAGAAACTGTTGTGATTAGCTTACCCCTGGTATAAAGCCCTCCCACATTGGATACTCAGTTGTTGTGAGGAATGCCTATGACACCTACAGCTGCATGCAGATTGCAAGCTCAAAGTGTTCCACATGTTCCATTATTATAGCTTCAGTTTTAAATGGTCAATTCTGTCTGGGAAAAGTGGCAGGAAACCAACCTAAATTCTAATGATGATGGTTTAACAAGCTGAAGTAAATATTAAACTCAAGAGAGTTCAAAAATGGCAATTACAGTTAGTTGTTTCTCTTCTAGTTTAATATATAACACTTCCTTTAAAGATCTTGAGACACTTTTCCCCATAACAAACTCATGACAAACAGCTGTTACAATATTCCATAGGGTTATCAGTGACTTTAAACCTTTATTGTGAATGGTTCAATTACAAACAAAAATATATTTATGTATAAAATATCTCTGCATGTAAAATATCCCTTTTTTGCTGTGGACAGTGAGGATAAAAAAGTATTAGACAAACGTTCTCAGAGTGAACAAACTTCAAACAGAAAAAAATTAGGTATGTGTTAAGAGAATTTTGACATTCTGAATTTTTGCCCAATCTCTTTTTAACCTAGTTTTAATCCCTGCAAATACTCTGTATTAACTGTCTTCACATGGCTTCTGCCTTTTGTTTTCATTTCCCACATCAGTCTTTCACTTGATTTGTAGGAGATTCTATTGCAATGGGTGTCCCATGGTTTTTTTCCCTTTGTCACTTGATCAACTGATTTTTTTTTTTAATCATTACATTCTATTGAACTGTTTGAAGTCCAGATACCCAAACACTTAATACAACAGCAGTAAAAATAGTTACACCCACACTTATTTTTCAAACCCACTTATACTAGGTACTTTCACAATGAAACAAGATTCAGTTTTGCCTCTGTAGTGATTCATGTACAATCTAGGGCTTCCCTCCCATGGTTTAATGCATGGTTCTCCATCTGAATAGCAAAACCAGTGGAGTCCAGTTCAGACTTGCTGCTTGGTGAAAGATATTACTCTTTTCTGTAATAACTGTTTTCATTGGGCTTAAAAGATCTTTTTTTAGAAAATAAATTCCATGGTGATTTGATGAGGTTGAATGAGTTACCTGACTGGAGAAAGTATGGATTAGAGAGGTATTGTATGAGCCTGTAATTAGTTTACAGACGGGTTAATTAGTAATATAGCTAATAAGATCTTCTTAACTCAAACATCATACAGATGGACTTGGCCACAGAATTCTGTCAGTGGCCACATGGTGGTTTAGTCTGTAGAAATGATAAGGCAATACCTGTTTCTGGTTTTGGCCCCAGGACCACTGCACTAAGTCCTAACAATGGCACTGATGCCTCTATTCTATTCCCCACTCCCACATTTACATCCTAATTCCTGGTCACTTGCAGCAAGTGCCTCAATACATTCCAGTCTCAAAGAAATGGGAGTTCAAATGCATGGCTTCCTCATAGCACCTACTCACTGCTCATTTTTTTTACACTTAAAAGCAGCTGTATTTTCCTCCTCTGTACCTATATTCCAAGCTTTGTAAGGAGGAGGCACTCAAGATTATACTGAGCACACACATTACAGGTACTTCACTGGCACTCTGTAGTGTTTGCAAGCCAACTGATCATAGATATTTTTTTCCTTATAACTTTTGTCTTTTATCATGTGATAAACACTGAATACCTCTTCAATGTGTTTACCTGCAGAGAACAATCCTGTACTATTCTGCTCAATTAAGTTCTCCAGAACAGCTTTAGAAAAGACAGTGGTTATAAGAAGCATACACTCTGTTGGTTGTCTGGATGCAAAATTATAACATAGACCCTACAGCATTGGTAATAATATTCCTTTAAAAAAAAAAATCTTTGGAATTAGGAGGGCAGTTCTGATCAGTTGTTACCATTTTATGGGAGGTCACGTTTTGGGCCGGAAGTAGTTGACACTGTTTAGCTGAGCTCTACACACTAAAGGTCATCTAATCAAGCACATTTAGATTGTTGTGAACAAAATTCAGAACTGAATGTAAAGTGGCAAGACTAGGAGTCAGTATTTCCAGGGCTTCTACAGGTAAACTTGTGAACTTGGTAGCTGTTTTCTGTACCACACAGAGCTGCTCAGATAACTGACTACAAATAAGTATGTTGTAGCAGTCCATGTGCGGCCCCCTAAATCTTACAGTTTAGCTTAAAACACCATAATGGAGTGAAACTACTGCTGCTTAATTCAAAGCACAGAAGAGGTAGAAAGTCTGAGTTCCTGTCCTAATGTCTTTTTGATTTCAACCAAGAGAAGTCTGCACTCCTTGCACCTACTTGTGGGAGGTCCCCAGCTCAATCTCAACAGCAAAATTTGGCCTCAAGTTACAATGCAGCCTTTTGGCAAAGTCTGTTGTGTCTTTTCACACATAGCATAAACCCCTTAGTGTGTCAGAGGTTACTTACTGCATTTGCTTAATCAGCTTAAAATGTGTACAAAGACTTGTTCCCTCTCCAAATACTGGAGAAAATTGCATATGTGGATGGCATCATGGGAGGAAAGGTGTTCTCAGGTCTTTGTTAAGAGACTCAAAAATCCCTAGACCCAAATAAAATGCCATTATTCAGTTTCCTGGGGTAATACGGACTCTGGGCAAGATATTCTGGAGGAGTTTAACTCATCCGATGTAGTAGGATAGGTGAAATAATGCTTCAAGTACTTAGTGCTGGGAA